GGCCGAACCTGGCAAGTACTTGGAAGGGCGGCCTCTAAGGAATACCAGGGCTGGGATGCAGAGGCAGGTAAATATCAAGCCACCTTTCTGAAACATCCTAGCCCCACTAGGGATCACCAGAAGTCATCATGACTTTCAGGCTCGCAAACACACACACAATACTCATGCAAACAAAGTACCAAATAGATGGGTAGGTAGATAGAAGAAGAGAAGTACAGATTGGATTTATACCCCACTGTTCACTACCCGAAGGAGTATCAGAGCGGCTTACAATCTCCTTTCCCTTCCCCTCCCCAGAACAGATACCCTGTGAGCAATGTTCCCTCTAAGCTTTGGAGTCTTGTGAGGAAAAATTCTACTTTGTGAGCTACTGGCATTAAAGCTGTGAGCGAGTGATTTGGCTGCTGTATAAATTAGTTTGCTCTGGAGCCCTCCTTCCTGAGCTAAGACAAAAATGTGTGAGCTGGAGGCTAAAAAACTGTGAGCTAGCTCACACTAACTCAGCTTAGAGGGAACACTGCCTGTGAGATAGGTGGGGCTGAGAGAGCTCTCTTGAGAACTGCTCCTGAGAGACTTCCGGTTTATGGCGGCGCGCTGAGCAGACTCACCTCCCGGGCCTCCTGAGGGTGAAGCTGCGCACCAGCAGAAAGGAGGAGCCTGGCAAAAGGCTCTTGGCCAGGAAACTTCTGAGAGGTCGCCTCTTCGTCAGCGCGATGCTGGGGAATCGAGGCGCTTCTCCGTCCCGATGGTCCCTCTGCTGAGTGTCCGAACAGAACTAGTGACGCTGACCGGGACAAGCGCTGGAGATCGAGCGGTTAAAACGGAGGCTAAGCGAGGTCGTATGACCGAATATGAACAGTGAGTCGGACTAAAGCGTATTTGCTATTTAAAAAGAAAGCTCCCCACCCCACAGACTATAGAAGTAAAGCGAGCAGGGGAGGGACCCCTCCCTTGCGCATAAACTTAAAAAGCGAGACCCGGGGGGGGTAGCGGAAGCAAAAGTGATAAAATCTGTTGGGAAAGACTTACCAAGGTGCGTATGAGCGTATGAGTGCATATTCAGAGACTTTTAAAAAAATTGCGAAAGTAAACAATCCATAAAGATGGCAGGGAAGAGGACTGAGAAAGAGAAACTTTTAAAGGCGAAAGTAGCTTGAGAGTCCATGACCGGAAGGAACCACTGAGCTGGCCAAAACGTTGGCAGAGTCCCTGCGCCCCCTGCTGGACCAGATGACTAATCTCAATGAACAGTTGTCAACAATGAACCAATGTATCACTACTCAGCTGACACAATTGAATGAGACTCTCAAAATTACGGAACAAACAGCTGAGAAAGTGAAAGAAGTTGACGCCACTGCTCAAAAGGTGAAGAAAAAGGTACAAAAATTGGAAAAGAAGCAAGTGTCTACAGAAGAACAGCTTTTACAACTACAAATGGAGAAGGCAAACCTGGTCCTCCATTTCCAAGGTGCCCCAGAGACTAAGGGCGAGAATCTGAAGCAAATGATGAGTGATGCATTGGCCCCAGTGACAGATTTGAAGACGGAGTTGTTGATGAGCGAGATGGATGTGGCCTATAGGTCGTATTCCGGATATATAAAGAAAAATAATCTGCCTGGGGAAATAGTAATAAGATTCTCGAAGAGGCACGTGAGGGATTCAATCCTGAGAGCAACAGCTGGGTCACTTTTGAAAATTAGGGACAATACTATCAGCATCTTGAAAGATATCCCATTTGAAATAAGACAAAAGAGAAAAAAATACAGATTTAATCCTTTTTCTTCAAACAAATGCAATAGCGTACAGGTGGCTAATTCCAGAGGGCTTAACCTTCAAACTTCAGGATATAAAAGAAAAGATTGACTCTGTTTACAAAGCATGGGAATTTCTGAGAATCCAGTTGGGAGAGCCAGAGGACGTGGAAAAAGAGGAGAAGGACAGTAAGTCCAGTGGCGAGCTGGACTCGGGGTCTTCCAGAGAGGACTCTCTTTTGGAGAAAGGGGCGGCGGCCCCTAAAAGTCCTTACAAACTGCGGAAAAGACAGGATAAGAAAAAATGAAGGCTGAAGGACTCTGAATTGTGCCTTTGAAAATATTACTGTTAATAATGAGATGCTTTGGGGCCTTTTTTCCAACAGTTAAATTTTAAAAGTTATATTAGCATATCTAAGTTCATAAAATTGTTAGCGTTTTAAGGGATGGCTTTGTATTTAAGCTAATTTGATGATCTCCTCTCTTGGGTTTTTAGTTAGTAGTGGTTATCTTTTCTTTCTCCTTAATTGTAGTTCCCCTCCCCTTTTTTCATTGTAGTTTGTAGTCCTTATATAAAATGGAATTAAAAAATCCCCTTTGGGGGGCCAAAAAATAAAAAAAAAAAGAGAGAGAACTGCTCCTGAGAGAACAGCTCGAAAAGAATTAGTAAGTGACCCAAGGTTACATCAGCAGCTGCATGTGGAGGAGTGGAGAATAAAACCTGGTTCTCCCAGATTAGAGCCCACATTTCTAACCACTGCACCAAACTGGCTCTCACTGTGTACACATTATATTGCTCAAAATTTTCTGCAGGCAAGCCCTGATTTAGTAATATGGTAGTTTTTTTTCTTTTTTAAATATTTTATTAAACATTTCAGTAATATGGTAGTTATGTTCAAGAGCCTCTGGCCCTTAACTCCAGGTTCACACGTGTCTGCCTGAACAGCGTTGCAAGCTGGTGAGCTGGCAAGTAACAGGATGTCTCAAATTCAAGCCTTATTATTCTGTTACAGTTTGTAGCTTGTACTGCCTGAAAAATGATCCGTGTACTGGTCAAAGTGAGTGGCTTTGTGACTGACTACTCTTATCTGTGCTGTGAAAACGGCGAGTTGACATTCTTTTTCTTCGTTGATAACTCTCTGTGTAGTTGGGTCAGTTCTGAAAGGGGTGTTTGTCTGCTCCCAACTGTGGTGTTCCTTCTGTCTTCTCTTCCCTTCAACCCTCCCCTCCACTCTGTGGATTTCTGTGATGGGGGGGGACTTCATTTGGGCAGGGCTATTTTTGGGCAGGAACGCACAGAAACGGAGTTCCGGCTGGCTCCCGAGTTGGCCACACCTGGCAGGAACTCATTAGCATAACAGGCCACACCACACCCAACAGCAGAAACTCATTAGGATTGGCTACATTAGGGATGTGTGGTCTAACATGCAAAGGAGTTCCTGCTACAAAAAAAGCCTAGGGTTTTGACAACAAACAAGCTAAACAGAATAAGAAGCAAAAGGTGGGTGTGGCTGGATGACCAGACTTCTGGTAACATGGGGTGTGTGGCCTAATATGCTAATGAGCTGCGCTGTCAGGTGTGTGGCCTGATGTGCTAATGTGTTTCTGCTGTTGGGTGTAGCCTATTATGCTAATGAGTTCCGGCTGGGCTTTTTCTACAAAAAAAGCCCTGCATTTGGGAATATAATTGAAGAGCAAGAAAAAGTTACCTCCCATCACTCATTAATCCCATGTTAGGGAGGTTTCCTTCTCCATTGGTGTTGCACAGACTGGAGCAGCCATTTTCTTTTCTGCTTGGAGGTGAACTGGCGCTATTGCTCCAGTCTAGTCTTGTGCTTTGTGAAAAAATATTTGCTCCTATAGACATCTAGATGTGCATTTGTGATCTCTAAAAAACTGAAAGAAGGGGGGTACTGATGAATACCAGAGGTCTGAGGGTAATATAGAATAATCGTAGAAGGAATATTAAAGGTGCCAATATGATTCAAGAATGACAGAAGTGTGAAAAAATAGTTGTAATTACAGATTTACAAAGAACATAATATGCCCACAAGAGCAATAAATAAGACACTATCAAAAAGCTTTTTTTTTACAGTGATAATACAAATGTATTCTATACAACAACAATGCCGTATCCAAAAAAGTTAACCAGTTGGAAAAAGCATACTGCATTTTGGCATTTCTATGAGGAATTTACGAGCAAGATAAAAGACACACAACAAGACAGGATGCCGGAAACAGGATTGTAGCCAGCATCCTGTCTTGTTGTATGTCTTTTTCTAGCTCGTAAATTCCTTACAGAAATGCCAATTTGCAGTATGTTTTTTCCAACTTGCTAACTTTCTTGGTTATGGCACTGTAGTTGTGTATATTTCTATTTATTTCTATTGTGGCCTTTTTGTTGTTGTAAATTTGTAATTACCACTATTTTTTCACACTCTTGTAATTCTTGAATCATAGAATTCAATCTTCCACGGGCTGGTTTCTTTTAAAATCCACAGTCAAGAAAGGAACTTCCTCCGCTTGTTGTTCACCGGTTTCTCGACTCCCTCTCTGGGTCGCTATTTCCACTTCCGCTTGCAAGCTCCAAATGACACAGTCCTACACTCTTGTAATTCTTGAATCATATAGGCACCTTGAATATTCCTTCTACAGTTATTCTGTATTACTCTCAGACCTCTGGTACTCCCTATCCCCCTTTTTTCATTTGTGATCTTTGCCTAGAATTGTTGTTGTTTGATTATTCAAAACGCTAAGGGACTATGGTTTTTCTTTTCTCTTTATAGTACGACTGAGCCTAAAAGCATGATGATTAACTTCTGATTCCTCTCTCAAGCATTGTGAGCTATTTCTGTGGTAAACAACAGTTTGACCCACTATTTCATATGAAAAGCCCCCTTTCCCTTTTTCCTCTATTAAAAGGAATTAAGCATCTCATGGGAATTTCTTCTTTATTACATTGAAGAAAAGAGAGGTGGATTTTGACTGCCTTCCTTTCACTTGGTTCTTTTCTGGACAATGCAAAAGAACAAAGTGTGAAATCTGGTAGAATTGGTGTTCTTTTGAATCCAGGGTAGATTAGTTTTAAATTTCACTTCTTCTTGCTTTGTGAATATTAGACACTACAATACAGGCATTCTGAATATATGTTTGTATTTTATCCTGGAGCCCCTTTCTTATTTTTTTGGAGTAAAATCTGCAAATGTTTAGGAAACTGGAGTTTCACTTTATCTCTTCCTTCTTTTGCAGGTGTATTTGTCAGGCCTTGCGTAAAAAGGTGTCTGTTTTAGTGACCCACCAGTTACAATATCTCCAGGCTGCAAGCCAAATCCTAATTTTAAAGGAGGTAGGTGGCGATAAGTTTGTTTTTGGAAAGTTGGCTGTGTTTGGGTGGTTATGTTTGTTCCAACACTCTAACGCTGAAGGGTTGTAAAGATAAAGTGAAAATAGCTTATTCAGCCCAAAGACCTGCTTTGGAACTACAGAGTCAGCTGAACTAGCATAGCACGTATGCATTTTTGCTTTATTTCTTCCATAAAATGTATTTCTTCAATAAACTCAGTGCCAGATAATACTGATGTCGTAAAGCCAATATAAAACTGGTATAAAACTATGTAAATGATTATTTATGTTCGATCCCAGGACATGGCGGAGGTCATATAATGTGACTGTTGCCTGTTTTTTGACATCTACTAGTAACTCTGTATACTTCCTGGAGTTCTGTGATGGAGCCACAGTCCTTTGGTGCGTCCACTTCTAATTGACTGGTTGACTCCAGAGATGGTACCGGGGACTGCTTCTTGGCCCTACAGCATAGGGTCCCATAGGGGATTCATTTAGTTCTCCATGCTGCATAACATCTACATGAAACCGCTGAGAGAGATGTACAGGGATTTGGAGGAAGGTGCCACCAATATGCAGATGACACCCAGTTCTATTTCTCCCTAACCGTTGAGTTGGGTGGGTCTGTGGAAGTCCTGAATGGGGCCTTGGAGAACATAATTCTACCGTGAAGCTGCCTTGGAGCAGACCAGACCCATTGGCATAGCGAGGACAGCAAAGCACGGGTGGCAGCAGCCATCGGGACAGAGTGGCCAGGCCCCTGCAAGAAGGAGTGAGCGCCCAGTGTGGGCCAGAAAAGACGCTGTGGCAGCCCTGGTTCCTGGGGCCCTGACGGCCAAACCTGGAGCACCCCCGGGAAGCTGAGGGCTCATCCCACAGGGAGGCAGGCAGGGCCCGGAAGAGCCTTCTTGCACCATGCAGCCAGCATGTCCTTTCAGGCCCTTCGCTGGCGTCAGGCACCTGGGGCTGATGTGAGCACTTCAGAGACCCACCCAAGCTCTCCCGGGCGGACGGTGGCTGCCAAGACCAAGGATTGGTGCTCACCCTGGGAGGGGCTCTGCCCTGTGCCGGGGAGGGTGCCCCTTCACCTTATAGCTCCAACAGCAGCCACTCAGCTCACGCCTCTCCTCTGCAACAGTGAGCCTGTGGTTTCCTGCCAACTGAGCATAGGATTGCAAGTATGCAGCCCATTTCACTGAATGTCTTCACGGAAGCCCATTAAATTAAATTAGGGCCCCTGATGCCACCCCATTCCTGGCTACAGTCCTGTGTACGCCTCCTTCAGGTTGAAATGCAGAGGAAGATACCATTGTGTCTTCGACATTAACACAGGAGAATGGCTTTAATCCTGAACTCTTGTTCACAAAAACGTCTTTCCATCCCTTTTAAAAAAGTGGACAAATCCATACATCTCTTATTGTGAACAGGTTGCTATATCCCGTTTTGAATGTTTACCTTAAAATCTTGATGGTAAAGAGGTGCTCTGGACATGGAGATGTGAAAAGTAAGATCCCTCATGGCATCTTCCAAAAAAAGTAAACACCCTGTAGCATTTAGAATTGGACATAGGAGGCCAGCGATTGCAGTACAGTTGACCTGCTGGGGCTGCTAGGTTTCATGCTGAAAATGGCCATTTTATTAAGAGTATCGTGTATTTTACTTCTAGGGCAAGGAGGTAGGGAAGGGGACTTATTCAGACTTCCTGATATCCGGAATAGACTTTGCTTCTCTTTTGAAAAAACCTGAAGATGATGAACTGCAACCAATTCCAGGAACCCCCAGTCACAGGTTACCCAGAATGCGTACATTTTCAGAAACATCTGTGTGGTCAATGGAATCTTCTGTGCAGTCACAGAAAGAAGGGGCTACAGAACCGCTGTCTGTGAGTACATCATATACTTATTTTTTAAAAAAAATTATGTATTTTTACTTTGAATGGTGTCAGAAGATCAGAAGGGACAAGCTGGGAACCTAGGAGACTCGCGGGGTTGGGAAGTCCTGTGTCTCCCCCCCCAACGCTTGCTTCCACCTTCTCTGTCTTTGTAGCCTTTTCATCACCACCTCACCTAGTTTTCCTTCTTCCTATCTCCCCAGCCTTTCCCCCACTTTGTTTCACTCCCCACTTTGCCTCCTCTCCCATCTGTTGCTGTTGCCTTTCCCTGAACCTTCCATCCCGTCAGGCTTGCCTAGGCCCAAGATCTGGGGCCTTATTTTCTAGGTGACCCCACAGTGCTGACTGTGACCTCACAGAATTTAGTGAGATCTCAGTCAACATTCTCCTTTCCCCCCTACTCCATATATTTTTCTGCAAACCTGCGTTTTGCCCTGAGCCTGTAGAAAAAAATCCTCCCATCTGTACATGGCCTCATTATGTGGATTTTTTTGTCCTTGTTCTGTGGCTGTGTTCAGAATTAGGTACACAGATTTGAGGACATCCATGTTTGAGATTGCTGTGGAGTTTGTTCCACTGGTGCATCCCTTATTGGTGCTGTTGTGAAGTAATTTCTTCTAGAAGCTATTTGATGTTAAAATATTACTTGGGGTTGTAAACTGTAATTGCTAGATCAATTAGCGAAAGGTGAACTGTCACGAAGAGAGCAAAAGGAAGTATTAGTGATAGTCTTCCCTTCACATAGCGTGTAAAAGCTTTTGCTTGTTAAAATGTAAGCTGTTAAAGTTAAGAGATGGGCACGAACTGGGAAAATGGGGGTTCATTTTGGTTTGTGGGGCTGTACAAACCACGAACCTTCACGAACTTTCCTGTTTGCTGAACTGGTTCATTTTGTGAGGTTTGTGATTCGGTAGAACATGCGCTCCTGTGGGCTAGAGATGCCAAACTTGCCACAAATTTCTAGCTGACTCTCTTCTACCTGCCCTCCAAGTTGGTGAGGATTGGATTTAGGGGGCCTGAGTTACAGCCCCCCAAAACAGGTGCCCCCAGGAAAGTGGGGATATCACAGCTGCAGGTTCGGGAGTATGTCAGATCCCCTGTGAGCTAGAGGTGTCAGAGTCACAGAGGACCTCCCTGGGATACCCCCCTACCTGCTCTCCAAGTCTGGTGAGGAACCCTCCCCCCCCCGGTTATGATGTGGTTTCTGCTAGGGTAATTGCTCTTCCCTACTGCTGCCGTGTTCCTTGCAAAAAGACCCTGGGTGCAGGGCAATCATGTTAGAGAAGGAGAATCTCTCCCACACTCTCCAAATGCCGATTGCACTGACCTCCGTTCCCCACAAAGCCACTCATTATTAAATGAAATTTTGATTAAACCTGGTGGGCTGCCAGCCGAGCCCCGCTAGCTGAAAAGACAGATTTCCTACAATGGATGCTTGGTGCAATTATATGGGGGGTGCCTTACTGCAATCCCCCCTTTCTTTGTTGTACTTACTTTACCCCCCCCCAAGTCTAGGAACCCAACAGCTAAGCCTCTCTGCTCGGTTTGATTTGGTATGTGATTTGATGGTGATTTTGGGGGTGACCCAATGCAAAAATCCTGAGGATCCATCAGAATCTGTGCTTCAGAATCATGTTTTTGCGCCATGGTGTTGCCACAGAGCCATGGATCAATGATTTTCGTGGTGCGAGCTGTGCCCATGGACATGATATGTGATTTAATGATGATGTTGGGGTGACCCAACACAAAAACTCTGAGGATCCATCTGGATCTATGCTTTGGAATCATGTTTTTGAGCCATGGTGTTCCCATGGAGCCATGATTTTTATGGTTCAAGCTGTACCCATGGGCATGATATGTGATTTAATGATGTTGGGGTGACCCAATGCAAAAACCCTGAGGATCCATGCTATGGAACCATGTTTTTGTGCCATGGTGTCACCACAAAGCCATGGGTCCATGATTTTTGTGATGCAAGCTGTGCCCATGGACATGATATGTGATTTAATGATGTTGGGGTGACCCAGTGCAAAACCCCTGAGGATCCATGCTTTGCATACATGTTTTGCACTGTTGTGTTGCCACAAAGAAGCGGATCTGTGATTTATGCTTTGCAATCTGTGGCAATCAACATTATAGGTGATCTTATGGTGAGTTTGGGAAGACCTAGTGCAAAAATTGTGAGGATCCATGAGGATCCGTAGATATCGACTACTTTTTTGCTTGGATGTGTGATTTTTGTGGTGCTGCCTATAGACTAAGAGATGGTCTACAGTATGATGGTGCTATTATTTCGTTTCAATGTGAAAATCGTATGAATTCATGAGGATTCATTTAAAATCCTCTCGATCCGACATATACACAGTCTCTTCAGAAATAAGTATAAAGGGTGTGTGGGGGGGATATGTGTAAGCAGAGGGACAGCTTAAGCAAAGAGACAAGTGGCTTAGAGCCCTGCGTCCACTCCACCTCACACAATCCCAGCCAGAGCTAGTAGTCACACAAAGCCCAATTGGGAGGTCCTCAGCTGAAGAACCAATGAATCTAAGCCCCTCCGTTCAGCATGAGCAGAAGGACAGGTGCCACAGAGCCCTCCCTCCAAACCCCATTGTTCACACTGAGGAATGACTTCCAGTTCCCTTCCTCCTCTGCCTCTAACTGCTTGCTGCTGAGTAGAAACTGCTAGGTTGGCAGGAGCTGGAACTAGAGACGGGAGCTCACTCCGTCATGCGGCACTCCGGTCTCGAACTGCTGAACTACCGACCTTCCAGCCTGCAGTTCAGCATCTTAGCCACTGAGCCACCACAGCTTAAAAAAAAAAAAAGGTTAATCAACTGAAATGTTTTGTTTGACAGTCCCAATATCAGTATATCAGAACTTGGTTTTTATAAACCTACCTGGATGTATTACATCATTTTGACATGGGAGAAGTTAGCTGTTAGTTTATTTCTGACTGCCCACAAAAATGAAAATTGAGATACGAGTTTTAAAGTTATTCATGTCTCCAGTATTTCATTCTCTTGTTCTTTGTAGCTGTCTCTTAGAGGCACCTTTTTAGAAATACTAGTTTTAGAGATGTATTGTGGAAATACAGTAAGTTTTTGCTGGATCTTTGTTACAGTTTTAATGCTGACTTTCTTATTCTACTCTTCATTCTACAGATGGAGCCTGTGCTAAGCACGTTGCCAGAAGAGAACCGTTCAGAGGGGAAAATCGACTTCAATGTTTATAAGAAGTATTTTGCTGCTGGGGCCAGCTACTTTGTCATTTTTATACTTTTATTTCTCAGTATTTTGGCACAGGTAAGTCATTTGGCATCATGAATAAAAGCATTATTGAAGTATGCTTTTACAGGGTTTCAACACATCTGACTTCCTACTTTTCCCCCCAAATTTTTCAAATGCGTTAAGTTTTCCCCTCTCCTTTGGATTAAAAGGTGTAGATGACAAACTGGCTGAAGGCTTGTTTGGTCCTGTTAACTTCTTTGGGAATCAATTCAACCAAATTCAAGTAAATAGGGTTTAACAGAAGCCATCTTGGATTTACTTCAGTTGTCTCGGATTATGTTTCATGCAGTCCCATGTAAAAAGCTCTCTCCCTTTATTCCACCTCAAAATTTAGATTTTGGATTTTCTCCGTTAGATTAAACCTGCGATCTTAGCGATGGGGCAATTAAGAGAAGGGTGCATTTATAGACTGGAGCATGTGTCCCTACACACTGTCCCATGTCTGGCCCCAGTGTTTGTACAGGGGCAGCTTGAAACTGTGCTGTGGCTTCCAGGGCTTTCTGCAGGTCAGCAGACATGGCATTCAGTCCTACAGGTGTTATGCTATATACCTGGGGGACAGGTGCAAGCCCTATGCAAAGAGTGGATGTCTGTCTGCAGGTAAGCCCTACAGTGAGGTGAGTGGGCATGATTCCCCTTTCCACATCGTCTGTAGGAGGAACTACATCTCACAGCCTTGTGTAAGCCACAGAGATGTTCGTTGACCTGTCTTTCTATCTCTACTGATGTTTAGCCGCTTGTTTCTAAAACTAAACTGTGTTTTGACGCTTTCCTGGCTGTTTGCTGGTGGTGATGGAATTTATCGCAAGCAACTGGGGAGATTAGAAGATTTGTATTGGGAAGCAGCATGTTCGTTTCCGAGTGAATGAGAAGCGAACCGACGCCCCTGTCCATTAAACTTTCAGTTGTTCTGAAGCTTAAAATAGGAGTCAGAACAAATGGATCCACTTTATTTTCATTTCTATTGATTTTCAGTGGAAAACATCATTTTCTTAGGCTGCATATTTCATATCTATGGGATCATCTTTGTTAGAGCACAAGGGTTCCCAGTTTCTAAACAAAATATGAAACAAGACTTTGTCAGTCCCCCCAAAAAACTGGGTTGCTAGAGCATGTAGAAAATTCTTTATCCAATTATTGTGCCAGTTGGGGAGACATCTGCACCCCTAAGGGGATTCTCGTGTAAACAGGAAGCTTTCAATCATTCATCAAAGTAGAACTGATGTCTTATGGCTGGTATGAGGGAGGGAGAGAGAGAGTCAGGAGATGTGGAGAGATATGACGTTGACATACAGGAAGCATTCAATCAATCATCGAAAGAGATCTTTCATTTCTGGGGCATGTTTTGATTTTTAATTGCTCATGAGAATGGGGATGCGTTCTCCTGTCTTCCTGAAACTTGGCAGAAAAGATTTCCTCCAGTGAGGTATCTAGTGAGGTATACCTAATCGGTATTTTTCGGGTACTTATTAAGCTCAATACCGATCATAGGTCTGTATTTGGCTACCAATATGACTCCACATGAAAAAAAGCCATTTTTTAAATTTTATTCAGGCGAGCCAGCCTCAGCCAAAGCGGCAATTTGAGGCCCCTAGCTTGCAGGGGGGCTGGTTTAAACCAAGCTGCAAGAGGAGCCAGCCTTGGGTCGGCTGGGGTGGCAGGAGGGGACAGCTCCGTGCCGCTCCAGCTGATCCTCCCTTGCCCCCAGGCTCGGCTGGGCTTCTGCTGGCCAGCCCAGTTTAAACCAGACTGCCCAAGAGAACCTGAAAAGGAGCCAATCCTTTGGGGAGAACACTCCCTGCAGCCTCGGCGGGAACTCTGCGGAAGCCGTGGGGGAGGGACTCTGCTGGGCAGCCTGGTTCGAACTGGACTGCCCGAAAGAGCCTGCAAAGGAGCCGATCCTGTGGGGAGAAGTCTCCCCAAGGTTAGGAGAAAGGAAAGGAGGGCAAATCTGAGATCGTCCCTCCTTTATGCTGGCCATAGCTCCCGATGCCAGCAGAATGGAAGGGGGAGGGGAGATCTGAGACCTTCCTCCTTTCCCTTCCTCTGTTCTGCTGGCCTTGGCTGCAAGAGGAGTCAGCCCAGTATTGTCTGGGGTGGTGGGAGCTGTCAGCTCTTCCCCAGAGGTCTGCTGCCAGTTTGATGCCTCTAGCGTACAGGGGGACCATTCAACTCACTTCCTCCCCTTTTGCACAGGGACTCTAGGATCTCCCCGTCCCCCAAGTAAATCTGCACACAACTTGGAGGGACAGTCCCTTAAAATGCATTTTGAAAGCCATGGCATGAGTGAACCCAGAAGGGTTCTCTCGTGCTGCAGCTAGCAAAATGCATTTAAAAGGATGGCCCCTTTCAATGCTGAGCTGAAAAATTCGCCAATCCTGATTTCCCCCCGAATTACAATATCATACAGATATTGGGATTCGGGAATATTGGAAAATGCCAACATTTTTCAGTTTCAATACACCTAATCCTGAAAAATACTGGGATGGTTTTTTTGCACACCTCTAGTATCCAGTCCCTGAAAATGTCATATGAATTAGATGGAAAATGCCCCCCCCAGGGGGGGGAGATAGAAATTTTTCCCATTGATATTGCTTGGAATTGGAAATAATGCAAAAACCAGATGAATGGAAAGTGTATGAACATTTTTGAAGCTGAAATGAAACTAGGAACACCCCCAATGTTTTCAGCTCTCAGGAGAATTTCAGAGAGCTTCTTCCGGATACTTGAGGTTAGTGCAGAAACAAAGTCCTTAAAAAAAAAAAAACCCTCTCCAAAAAGGCATAAAGAAATACTTGAGAAAATCTAGTTTCAGAGGGTAGTCATGTCTACAGTTGAACAGTTAGATTCGAGTCCAGTAGCACCTTATAGACCAAGAGTTTTGGGGTATAACCTTTTGAGAGTCTGATGAAGAGAGCTTTGAGTCTCAAAAGGTTATATGTTGAAAATCTTGTTGATCTGTACGGTGCCACTGGACTTGAATCTAGCTGTTCTAACGCAGACCAACACAGCTACCCTGTGAAACTGCATCTTCATGGAAGGTGCCACATTCAGCAACATGGTATCTAAGATCCTAGGAGAAGCCAATGTTGGAACAGGCCAATGGCCCATCCAGTCCAACACTCTGTCACACAGTGACCAAAAATACCAGGGGCCATCAGGAGGTCCAGCAGTGGGGCCAGGACACTAGAAGAAGAAGAAGAAGAGATTGGATTTATACCCCGCCCTTCACTTGGAGTCTCAGAGCGGCTTACAAACTCCTTTCCCTTCCCCTCCCCACAACAGACACGCTGTGAGGTGGGTGGGGCTGAGAGAGCTCTGACAGAAACTGCTCTTTTTCAAGGACAGCTGTGCCAGAGCTTGTGACTGACCCAAGGTCACATCAGCAGGTGCAAGTGGAGGAGTGGGGAATCAAACCCGGTTCTCCCAGATTAGAGTCCACACACTTAACCACTACACCAAACTGGCTCTACACTAGAAGCCCTCTCACTGTTGCCCCCCCCCAGCACCAAGAATACAGAGCATAATTTGCCCCAGAGGAGAGTTCCTACCTATATGTTGTAGCTAATAGCTACTGATGGACCTCTGCTCCGTATGTTTATCTAATTCCCTCTTGAAGCCATCCATGCTTGTAGCTACCACCACTTCCTGTGGCAGTGAATTCCATGTGTTAATCTGGTGAAGGAAACTTTGTCTCGTGAACGTTTATAACCAGAAAATCTTGTTAGCCTCTAAGGCAGTACTGGACGCGAATCTAGTTGAGAAAATCTAGTTTTCTTTTGCTTTTTTCCAGCCTGTTTCTCTGATATGTCTCTAAATTTCTTTAATCGAGGTTGCCTATGTGCTTCAGGATTGGTGGCTTTCTTACTGGTAGGTTATTTCTTTTTAATCTTTTTATTCAATAAATGTAAAAATGGGACTTAAGTGTAGTGTCTGAAGGTTGGTATGGTTGAGATGGGAAATAGAAAGGGGCCTTTGAGATGACTAAGTTGTTATGAAGCCACAGTTTTGCTTTACATTACAGCATAAAAACAACCCATCAAAATGCATCAAAAGCAGCATTATTTTGAAAGGCCACAGGGGCCAGAACCCAGTAGGAAATATGAACGAAGGTTCTTGATAGTATCTGTGACGACATCTAGCCACCTGTGTAAAGGATAATACCCCAATCTATTCTCAGGAGACTGTAAAAGAGCCTAAACCATGTACATGAGCTCAGTACTTAACAGAATTCCTTCAAAAGTGTTGTTGTTTTTATTCATATATAATATGCATAGTGCATATGTGCAGTCATACATGTGGTCAACACTTTTGCTGTACCAGTTTCCGCAGAACAGGAGCCGAGGGCGTGGTAGGGTGTGGGGTTTTTCCATGTTCTTCAGACCTCTCAGTCTCCTTGTTCCTTTCTCCACCCACATGCCTCTTCCATTGGAGGAGCAGCTGTGATGGCTAGGCTCCTTCTCTGACTGCCTCAGCATGGCTGATGTAGTTGGTGCTCCTGCCATCGGGCAGTCACCTGAGGGTAGTCTGGAGGGAAATAGTGAGCTGGGTCTTATTCTACATAAGAGAAACAAGAGGTCCTCCAGGTAACAGTCTAGGGCAGAGCCTGGACCATCCAGAACATCCAAAGAGCAAAGCGGATCAAGTGAAAGTGATATGGAATATATGAATTGCGGATGGAAGAGTATAATGACGTATGATCTGAAACTAAAGTGTAATTTTACTAGATATATTTGCAGTAGAGTAACATGGATCTATGACAGTGTCATAGATGCAACGAACATGAAATTGAGCCAACTTCAGAGGACGGCGAAAAACAGGAGGGCCTGGCGAGATCTTGTCCATGGATCTGCCCTGACCTGAATGGCCCAGGCTAGCCGGATCTTGTCAGATCTCAGAAGCTAAGCAGGGTCGGCCGTGGTTAATATTTGGATGGGAGCAGGGGTGTAAACTTCTCAGTTTCCGGGGGGGGGGGGGAGGCTGAACTGAGTAATCTAAAGTTAATTATTTTTTCAAAAACCATATCCCATCAACAATCATGTGGTTCAAATCCCCCCGCATAATAGTCTGAATCTCAGTCAAAGAAAGAGGACTCTGAGAGGAAAGATGTCATGAACTCCTTCACTGAGATAATACTGGTTTGTCAGATACCCTGACCTGAAATTATGGGAGTATTTGTTTGGTTGAAGTAGGGTCCAGGACAGCAGAATTGCTTCACTTTCTATATTTGGGGAACCAACTTCATCTCTCCCCCCGCCTCTTCCATGTACAGATGCAGTGAGGCAAAAATAATGGCTATTTCCATATCTTCTTTTTCTTTTTCTCTAAAGCTGCAAGTCTCAGGGTACGAAAACCTGAATTTCCAACATTTAAGCCACAGTCCTCTTTTCCCCCCACCACAACACACATAGCTAAATATAGAACTATTCTCATGTCCTCTGTTTCTTTTTCTCTAAAACTACAAGTCCCAGTATTCCAAAATCACCTTAACTTTCGACATTTGAGCTACGAGCCTCTGCCACTTATATGAACATGCATATTGAAACATATGGGATAACATATGTGCAAGATAATATGACAAGATTCTGAGTATAAACTCATTTTCTATCCTTCTAGTGTGTTTTTCAAATTGAATGAAGAATAAAGATCATGTCTGTACAATTATATAGTGGAAGAAAACAGCAACCTCTTGATAGTTCATGCACGTGAGACAAAAACAGCAAAGCAAGACTGAAGAGAAGTTATATCCTCATAGTAATCTTATAGATGTGAAGGTGGAGAATAATAATTAAAGCATTAAGTTGTTAATACAGGTCATTTCCTCTGATTAAAATCGAAATGTGAGCATTCTCCACCATAGAACAATGGAATTCCCCATTTCCTAGCGGGCTGGTAGTGATGGCCTTCTAAGGCAAAATCTGTTAGTTGCCATAAAATCCCGAGATTCTACAGTTGTGTTTATAAAAAGTGTCCTTTTTTGGTTTGTTTCTTCTTTGGAGAAACAATCTAAAGATTTATGACTTTTATGGTCGTTGGTCTAAAAACTATCAGAGTTATTGGACACGAATGGGTTCTTCAGTCTCTTCCATTCTTAAAGCCTGCAACTTTAAATGGTCTTCCATGCTTAAGTGATCGGGGATCCTCGTAAGGTGAGGATCACTGGCTTATAAATGGCTTTTAAAAGAGGACAGACAAATTTGGAAGTATGATATTAAGAGTTGTTATCCATGAGTGCCAGGTTTTTTTTTGGGGGGGGAGCAAACAAAAGGGAGGGGTGGTATTACTTGTTTCTGAGTTTCCCAGATGTGTTTGACTGGGTGCCGTATAGGAATATGTGAGGTTTAAACAGTTCACAGCTGCTCGTATGCACAACTTTAAAGGATTTCTTACCCCTATACAGGGCAAATCAACAGGAAAGGTTGAACATGACTACAGAGGGCACTAGTACAATGAACGAAGTGAAAGCGCTTGATCTCCGTTGGTATTTAGGAATATACGCAGGTAAAAAAGTTTTCATAATTTTCATAATTGCTTTAAGGCTTGCAAGGGCTCGCTAAATAAATAGTCATGATGGGTGGAATTCCTCTGATTACTCTTTTCTCCCTCCCCCTTCGCAAACCCCCGAAATGACCTCTGATTATGACCCTTCCCCCCCACCTGCCCATTTTGAACTTTATTAAACTGCGATAGGCTGAAAGGTTTCCATTTCCTACAGTGATTCAGATTCACCTTTTAAAGATTAGCAGGGCTCAGGCTTGTCTCCTGACTAAGGCAATTGGATGAAATGGGGGGTAGGGGGATGGGGATGGAATTTATCGTAGAAGGAAGAGGCTGAGTGTGGACGTTTTAATTTTCTCTTTTCTGGATTTTGGAAGGCAGATCCGAAACAGAGTACCCAAAAAGCCATTTGCCGTGAGCACCGTGGTCATTGTCTTTGCAAACGGAGTGTTATGGATGGGCAGAAGGATTAGAAATTGATCCTCATTTTTTTTTTGCCGTGCTCCGTTTCAGTTTTGTCGATGTGAAAAAGATCAGTCCTTTAAAAAGGCAACATAGACGTATTTTGTTCTCAAGTGCTATAGCAAATTAACCGGTTACAAGCGGAAAAGCTGAGAGAGGTGCACAGTATTACCAAGCTTCGCACTTGTCTCAAGAGCTGTTTTAATGGATTAAGAAGTGCAGAGTGGAAAAATGACATGTATGAAAAATAGGGTGGCTCAGACGTAGCCCGGGTTCACGTGCCACAACAGGCTCTGCGTGTGTGTGAACACAGCTTGTTGCTGTGCTTATGGACACACTTCTCTTCTTCCTCCTCCATGCTCACATGGGCGGTGTTTGAAGATTCCTGGCTTGCAGCAAACTCCAGTTTCCTGTGACATGCAAAGGCAGGTACTATCTGAGTTTTACCTCCTGGAAGCTGGGATTCTGAATCACAGTTTAAATGCAGGAATACAGTCCCTGTTCCTGGAGAGGAAGCCAACTCCATATCTCATAGGCACTGCATTTGTATGTCACGGGGAACTGGAGTGTGTTTCAAGCCAGGAATCCTTAATTGCAAGAAGGGATGGTGGAGCGGGAAGAAGGTATTTTCAGTGGCAAGAGGCTATGTTCAGTGTGCCTCTTCCTTAACTTGGTGGTCTCCACTCTCCTAATGATAATCATTCTGTGCTGTCAAGTCCAACTGACTCATGGTGATACCAGAATCGTGGAGTTTTCAAGGCAAGAGATGAGCAGAGGTGGCTTGCCATTGCCTGCCTCCATGTTATGACCTGGACTTCCTTGGTGGTCCCCCATCCAAGTACGAAGCTTGGCCAACCCTGTTTAGCTTCCAGGCTGTGATGAGATTGGACTGGTCAGGGCTATTCAGGCTGCTCTAAGTCTCTTAGCCCTTGACTTAGGCTTGACTAAGATCACATGCCCTGTACCCCAACCCCTCCCCACTCCTGCAGAAATCTATCCCTTTTCTTGCTGGATTTCATTATGCTTACGGATGAAAATTACTGATTCCTTCTTTGTTCTGATCATAGTCACAAGCTCCTCCTACACTTACACTATCCTCCAGTTTGTTTCTGGGCACAATTCAAGGTGCTGTTCTTGACCTCCAAAGCCCTATATGGTTTGGAACCAACATACTTGAAAGATTACCTGATCCCTTATGAACCTGCCCTACCATTAGGCTCATCTTCGGAGGCTCTGCTTGTAGTGGTTGCAGAGCACAAAACCAGACCCTCCAAAATTGTTCATTGTGCCCCCCACCCCAGCTTGTTTGGTTTAATAATGCAGTTCATGAAAAGTGCTTGACTGTGAAGAAGCCCACTTATAGGCAATGATGTTTTTATGCATATTTTGGAGACTTCATTTGTTGTTGTTGTTCAGTCGCACAGTCGAGTCCGACTCTTCGCGACCCCATGGACCAGATCCCGCCAGGCCTTCCTGTCTTCCGCCGTCCTCTGAAGTTTGCTCAATTTCATGTTCGTTGCATCTATGACACTGTCTAACCATCTCAACCTTTGCCGT